TGGGATTCAAGCCTGTCTCAGCCGCAACGAGGAATGACTTCTTTGTATACGCCACCGCTGCACATGGTGGCATCTGCTCTATTAATGGACAAGGTTTTGTCTTTTCATTTGTGTCAGCGATTTACCAGTTTAAACATGAGGAACCCGTCCGGATGGATAAAGAAACTCACGCTCTTTATCTGTTCATTACCATCCGGACGAGTTCTTCATTATTGATGCATCCATTTGCATCTTCATATCCTGCCAGCAGTGTCTCCACTTCCTCTTCAGCCATTTTCTCACCTAACATGGTGAGCACATGACGTAGTTCTGCTTCCATTTCTGTGCCGTTGCCCTCCTTGTCAAAAACCCAGAGTCCTTTCACAAAACACGTTTCTTCTAACAATGTTACACAAACTACTAAATTAAGGCAACAGAGAAGAAAATCAAGTTCTTCACTGATACCTGACAAATTTTGCATGTTGATCAAAATAGGCTTTTTATAACATCAGACAATGAGAGATTACTCAAAAAAGGATACATACATATATATATATATATATATATATATATATATATATATATATATATATATATATATCAGTAAAGAAAACACCAGTCACTGTCATACATTGCTTGCAGGCATTTTAAGAAATGTTTGGAGAAAGCCAGTTAAAACCAGCTTCTCTATTGCCCTCTTTGTGTTTTCAATCCAAAGAAATTAAGTTTTTTTTATGTATTTCTATTTTTTTCTCTGCTTTCTTTGTTTGTGTCTTTATAGCCTCCAGTGAGGTCCATAATTTCACAGTTGTATCACAGTGCCTTCTCTGTTTACTGGCAGTTCTTTTAAATTAAAAGTCACCATCTAGCTGTCAACCAATTGTTTGTACCTTGTAGCTATAAAGTCATCTACTATTTAAAGTGAAGATGCACTCACTATGCTGTTGGGGTAATGCCTGAATAAATTGCTGCTGTCTGTCAATATTAGTTTCCATTAATTAGTCTGTGGTCTGAATTTGGTGGCTCCTCTGTGAGAGTTAACCATTTTAGTGTTTATATCTCCTTTCCTTTCTTGATGCAGTTTGCTGCCTTTCTGTGGTACGGCTCTGTCAGACAAGCATGACTGACATCAACTTGGGTTACAGTTCATGTGTTATGTCAGTTATCTGTTCATGCCCTTTAAGCCTCTGATCATCAACACATGTGACCTACAGTGTACTGACATGGCTGGTGTCTCACAGCAGGGCAACATTCAATCATGAAAAGCAAAATATCACTGTTGTCCTGTCATACATTTTTTTTTCTACTTTAAAATTGTTTTTAGTGTTTCTATATTGTGAGTAAAATCATTATTTTTAAAATATTTAGTCTTAAAAATCAACATGGCACAACCTTCTTAAAGGGGATGGGAGGCATCATGTAATTTTGTTTTATTTTTTTTTAGTTTATCATGTTTTAATGTTATTTTCTCATCAACACATACCTTGGATGTTGTTTTAATTCTTCCATAGAGTGCCACATATTTCCACAAAGCTCCTCCTTGTAGTTGCAGTCTCCAGTAGAGCTTCTGCCTCACAAAGCACAATTCCCCAAACCAAGTTATGTTTCATATACAAAGCATTTTATAACAACATAAGGAAACATAGTTACTTGATTGAGCAACAAAATTTCACAGCAGGTCCATGACCAGTTTGTGTCGTCAGAGACCTATTGACATATATGTCAGTGTTTTTGCTGTGGCAGTGATAATTGCAATATGCAACTGTTACAAAAATATGTTTTATATATTAAAACTGACACCATGTTGTGACAGAATGGCTTAAGACAGATAATCTGTGAAAAACAAAAATCCTAAATGTACTAACTTCCTAAAAGAAACAACTTACCATTACAGAAAACTTTTTTTTTTTCAGTGTCATCTGTGGCTGCTTACAACTGACCTTATTGAATTTTGTATCTGAAATGTTAAAAATACTATCAGAATGCATTACATATTTCAGACTATTCTCTTCTTCAATCCATTTTATGCTCAAGAATATACGGCTATATAGAATTTATTACTATTCACTAATAATAGTAATAAATTTAGAGTTTCAGTCATCTCTAAATGTGACATCATCACCCAACTTGTACCTAAGCTATGAACATCCCCATCCATTAAACTCTATTGCTTGAAATTCCAACCACACCTTAATTTCTGGTTATTCTCTACTCCCCAAGAGAAAATAAAATGTTGAATTTATTCTATGTAAATCCTAAAGCATCATACATCTCTTCTGCCCTTTCTCCATTAGGCAAAACATGTCATAATTTAATAGTTTTCACCTCCACCTACACATCCATTTTTTAGTTTCACCCTCTGACAAAAAAGGAAAAGGTGTTCGTAGGAAACTGAACACACAAAATATAAATACGCTTTCAGGTCATTTCTCAGTATGAGTTACATGGAAACCATGTAACACACATTACTAAGACTGCATATGCTCTAATTTCTTTCCAAATTTAGTTTCCAGTTGTGATTGAGTCTACAGCTTAATGATAATTGAGAAGAAAATTTGAGACTAAAGAAACCCAGCATCTAAAAGTTTAAGAAAAAAGAACATCACATTTGGAACATAATCACAGAAAACTGTAGCACAACATTATAGCAGAAAAAAAACAATTATAGCAAATTCTCCAGCTAGAAAGTGAGAATATTTAAAAATTTTATAGCCAGTTTAACTAATAAACCAGACTCTACCTGATTAAACTTATCTAATGAGAAGCTTTAGGTAGACTTGTCACGCCAACAGCTGAAAAGGACACTGACATCTCCTAATGGAGTTTACATTTGTTGCTCCCATATTTTTTTATGACTTACCATGTAAACAAGTTTATTCACGTGTGATAATAATCAAAGTTCTTATTTACTGGAAATACTACAATTGTGAGATTGTGTCTTTTCAACGGAAGCAGATTATAGACAAAGATTTGCTCTGATTTGTAATGAAAATGCAGATGGAGTCCCCTACTAAAATTGGGTGGTTCTTTCTGAAAAAAGGGACCAGGGAAAGTGGTGGAGTCGAGGGGAAAACTGGCAATGACTGACAAGTTTAATGGAGAAACTCTGGTCATTAGTGAAGAATTAAGACAGAGAACGGAAAGCGAACTTAAAAGCTGTAAATGGGAACACTAAAAAACAAGCTTCAACAGAACAACATGGAAAGCTTATGGTAAGGAATAAAAAAGGTTTCAGGAATTATGTGAGGTATACAGACCTTCTCAGCTTCAGTTTCACAAAGCCACTGTTTCCCTGTCACACATGTACACTGTTGTTCAGTCATGGAAGTCAGCAACTACGACTCCTCCTATGTGTAAAAAAAAAATAAATCTTCCTGTGCACTCTTCTTCACCTTGTTTGTCTCCAAAAGTCAAATAAGGAAGCAGCTGCAGAAACTGTGCCTTAACAAGGCTGCAGGTTGAGGTGGTGTCAGAATCAGAGATCTGAATGCCTTTGTAGACAAGCTATGTGGGATCCAACTGCACCTTTTCAACCTTACCATGAGTCAGTATGAGTTTAAAGAGGTGTGGGCAACTTTATTTCTTGTTCTGGAACCTCAAAATCCCAGCCTTCCCTTCTCAACAACTATAGACTAGTCATGTAAACGTATCATACAATAAAATGACTGTTAAAACCCCAATCTAATTACACAAGTGGAGTTTGCTTTCTGTGTTTGGGTTGGAAAGCAAATTACCTCCATCCGCCTGCTTTATCATGCCCATTCTCAACTGAACAGGGCAGACAGCACTCAGAGGTTCATGGTATTTGATTTTATCATTGTCTTCAACATGACTGGGCCTCCACTGTTAAGTGACAGGCTCGAGCAAATAAAAGTAGATTTCTAGACAAACGCTTAAATTGTTCACCCCGACAGGCGGCCCACAGTTTTTGCAGCCAAAGGGTGCAAAAACTGTGAGAGAAGTTGGTCAGTAGCACAAAGGCACAGCAGGGACTGTGTTCTTGGTTCCCCTTTATTCTGTACTTTTCATTCTTCCAGCACAATGTGGGATTCTGTCATGTGCCGAAACACACAGGTGACAATGCAGTTTTGAGGTGTGCCTTTGGTGAATGGGGGTGAGTACTGAGGACAATGGCCTTCTGCTTTGTATTTTGGAAACTGATTAAACTGATAAAGAAGCTTGAGCTTATGTTGAAACTTTACAAAAATTATAAAATTGGACAATGTTTACAAAGCGACTGACATGAACGCACCAGTGCTCGACATGAGAACAAGAAATCCTGGTACTCTCTGTATGTAACGTCATGCAATTATGGAACAGAAATATGGGTGATTTTTTGAAATGTATATTTAAAGAAATATACAATTAAAAATATATGAAAGCTTGGTCTACTTATACAACTATGAATTTAAAATTTTGACCCTTGCAGTCTAACATGTTTTATCTGTAATTAATTTGTAACTATTAGGTTTTTGACACAAAAACAACTTGAAAATTGTTGCTTGCGTGAATATTTCTTGTTTGTTTTATTTTTTTTATAAAATTACACATAAAGTGTTGAAACTTAGAGGTTATTGTGAAAAGCTGTGAAAAAAGAACAAACACAGCAAACAGCACATATACAAAATTATTCTGCTCCACCCCATCAACCCCACACAGGGAGCATAATGTAATGAATGCACTTGCTCTTTGTTTGGTGGGCATGTTCATCAGTTGTGAGGGATGACTCTTCTGAATCATTTGATTGGCCAGAATTTCAGTTGAGACTGCCAGCATGTAACTTTACCTAATATTATAAGAAGACAAGGAGCACAAAGAGAAATAAGAAGATAATAAAAAATCCACTATAGTTTTCCTTTCTTACCTTCTTTTTCTTTTTACGTGTGTTCTGTCTGGAAGTGTGGGACTCAGGATAGTTGTGTGAGTGTCAAGGTGAGGCTCAATAATTTACTTTCACAAGCAAAACATGAACACTTTTGCTGATACTCTACTTGCTAATCTTAGAATTGCATTGAGTTTATTTCAAATGTAATGGAAAAAGGCAAAATAAATTAAGGTGGGTGGGAAAGGTGTAAAGAGAAAAAAGAAGAAAAGAGTAGAGGACCAGAAATAATAGCAATAATGTAATAGAGGGACACAGCTGTTGATAAGGTGGGCTGGTTCTCCTACACTTTGATCAGCCCTGGCTTAGAAGTTTGATTCTACACCTGTAGGAGAAAATAACAAAATAAAATCAGGAGACCATCAAACAGCATATGCATGTAAATGTGTAAATCTGCCTATGTCAAGCCATACTCAAAAACTGAATGACCTTGCAATAGTGTAACTAATGAGTGTGGTCACCAGAATGCCTCCAACTAAACTGAAGGAGTATATTTAATTTCCCTCTAATTTCCCTTTGGGATCAATAAGGTATTTTTGAATTGAATTTGTGGGCTCCACACAGGAGGCGACATCGCTCCCTTTCCATTCTTTTCTTATGGAACTTGGGCTGAGGCAAAAATCACTTGCTCTCCTCCAGGCAAATTACTACCGAAATTCAGGCATGTGAAATTTCAAGTTTGTATTCATAGATGTGCACACACGGAGTAGTGACACAACGCAAGAAAATTGAAAAATGTTCAACTTTTGCTGCTGTCGCTATTGCAGCCCTGTGGTTGGGTTCTGTTATGATTTGGACAAAAAATATAGGCCAATGCTGCAGTTGACTTTAGATGGTGTTTATTGTACTCATCCTCTGGTGAAGAAAGACGGAAAACCTGTGAGTCAGATTCACAATGGACAGGCAGGTTAAAAAAAAGGCCCCCTTCCTTCATTAAGAGCTCAAAAGTCCATCACCTTCAGTGAACCCTGTTGGGAGTCTAAAATGACTCCCTGCAGTGTAGAGCCCTCTTTTATTGGAAGACAAAAACGAAACAAAAACAAACAAAAAACTCCAATCATTAATAACTCAACTAAATGCTTACCACACAGTAAACAAAATAAATAAACAATCATAACACTGAAAAAAAAAAAACAGTGCTCAGTTTCATAGAAAACAGTGCAACATCCTGATGATGTCACAATTACATCATCACGTGACTCCCTCCTGGTGCCCTTCAATCCAAAAACACGTTGGCTTGAATATTGACCAGAAAATGTTTGATTGACACAAACTACTCCGTGTGTGCATTCAGACGAACCACTCCAGTTTGTGCTGAAACCAGAAGGTATGTTATGTCCAGTGTGCATGTGTGGTTGCATGTTGGCACAGACTTTACCTGTAGCACTGCATTCAAAGTGAACCCAAAGTGACAGAAAATGTTTGCCCTTTCACAGTCATTTGTTGCTCCAAGTGTGTTGGACCCATTCCATGCTTCAGCAGCTGAGAATGAAGAGACAACATGTACAAAGGTGATGGAGATGAACATAAAAAAGACTTGTAACTGTACATTTAGCAAAAGATAGTTATTTTAATGGTAGACCCCCTGAATGTTATTGTTTATATCTGGAAATCAGATTTTCAATGTTGAGTTGAAGGTCTGTTTTCCAATTACAAAACAACAAATGTTCACTTTTCTGCAAAATTCAACAAACTGCACAATTCTTATTAATTAGTAAGCAGTATAAAACATGTGGCATTTCAAAAGAGCAGAAGAAATCTTATGTTTTTTTGAACAACAACAATGTTTGTTGTTAATCTGTTGCTAAGAGATGAGCTTGTTTTCCTAATGAAGTGCCACGAAGTAAACAGCTGTGTCCAAATCCAGGGTCTGCATCCTTTGAGGGACGGATTTGTAGGCCGATTACGTCATAGCGTGGTGACAAAGCCTGTCCAAATTCAAAGACTCCTTCACATGGGGCCTTCAAATGTGTCCTCCTTTTCCCCAGATTTGAAGGATATGTGCGGTGTATCCATGATGGCCCTCCATGTCCCATAATTCACTGCGGATCCCAACTGGGCGTTCAGGCGGTGAAGAGCGGCAAATTATTTTGCTATGCTACACTTTAAATGACACATGATTTTGTACAACGTTTTTAGGACAGAATGTAAGTGTGAAAGTTTCAAATATCAGCTCGGTTCACCAAAACATAACCTGCTCTGACATTTTCGGACATGTCTGCTCCCGCTGTGATAACAGCCAGCTCCCCTCACCAGCTGCCAGCTGGCCGGGCGCTTCAGGTTCGGTATACCGGAGAACGCTTTATTCCCGGCAGATTCTTTTAAGAACTCTTGCTAGGTTTCCCTAATGAGTGGAAGTTAAACACCAATATTATTCAGACAGGTAATATCTAGTTGTAAAACGTTTGGTTTACTGAAGTATTTAATTTAGTAAATACTAAATTTGCTAAATTCAGTATTTAGTAAATCAAATAAGTTTGATAGATTAAAGTTAAGACTCCAAACATACTAGTGTGGAGTCAGTTTATTTAAACTGGTAGTTTAAATACACAACATGATTAAATGGTTATTGGTTTTTCAATATTTGAAAATTTATAATTTGCTAATATTTATTCCTGATAGTAATGTGCAATATATGTTTGACCATTTTAAAACCAAATTAACAGATTTTTTTTTTTTTTTTTACTATAGAATAGCCTTTACTGTAAAAGGAGAAGAATAATACATAGATCAGGAGTAATGCATGACTAAAAAACAAACTTCAGCTCCGTTGTTGGTGAAGCCCAGACATGTCCGAATTCACTGCTTTTCTCTTCTGGTCTTAGTTTATTCACGGCCTTGGAAGGACCCAGTCTACGTAGACTGATCCTTTGAAGGATGCAGACCCTGAATTCTGACACAGCTAACGTCTGATTTTTACTTTTACTAAATCTACCAACTGTAAGTTTCGTGTGCTAATTTCAAAAGAGTTCATGTTTTATAAACAGTAATATTACTTGTTATTAGTTTGGTGTTCAGATATTCGTGTTTGTTTTTGGTACTTAACTGCCACAAAGTATAAATCAGATTTTTTCTTTTGCGTTGAATGTCAGCTTTATATTATATTTACCTCCAATGACAAAAAAATCCAAGCAAACAAACAAAAAGAAAAACACATTTTCTCTTTTCTGCTAAAATCACCAAATGCACAATTTGCTATTTGCTCCAGCAAATAGCATAGGTAGTATTTTGAAAGAGCAGAAGAAATCTTATGGTTTTTGAACAATAACAATATTTGCTGTTAATCTGTTGCTAAGAGACAAGCTCGTTTTCCAAATTTACCAACTGAACATTTATGTCAAAATAGATAAGCAATATTTGAAGAGCTTGTATTTTATATACAGTGATATTGCTTGTTATTAATTTGGTGTTAAGATATGACCTCCAATGACAAAAAAAAAAAAAAAAAACATATTTTCACTTTTCTGCAAAATTCAACAAACTGCACGATTCCTGCTAATTGGTAAGTAGTATAAGCTACTAAAATACATAAGCAAAAGTATGACCTATTAAAATACAAAAAGAAAATATGTTTTTTTTGTCCCTACATAATTATTCAGTACTTCGGTTTCCATTGCAACCCTGACAAAGTGCTGCCATTTTGGATTTGTAGTACACTGTCAATATTACAGACTTAAATTTTTAATTTTGAAACATCAACTCTTGATTCATTTGAGCTGGCTACTGAATAGCAAGAATATAAACGTGCAAACATGTAGTCACATTTCAATTTGAGATAATATATTTCATTACTTTTCTAACATAAGGTAGGAGTTTTATTCTTGATTAATAAGTTGGAATTTGAATAAATTAATTCTAAAATAAATGGAAAAGGTACACCTTGTTTTTTTTTTACAACAGTGTCTTTAAAAGCCATTACTTTGCAATCAAGTAGCCCCATCAGAGAGAATATTTTTGCTGTGTTTGCTTTTAATTCCCTCAAAATGTTCCATAGACTTATCATATTAATGCCCAAATTGGGTTATCCTTCCTTCAAGGTCCCCAGTCTTAAATTAATATGACATCTTTGGCAAAGAAACTAGAATGCCTTTTAGAAGGATTTAATAAAAAGCATCACTGATCAAATTAGCTAATGTCCATTGACATTTTATCCTGAGCATTATAACAATAACTGGATCCAGTTATCATATTTTGCATGGTTTCTCATGGCACTGTCTGAAGGATTTCTGTTTAACAGTGAGTTACAAGTTAAGAGACCAGTAATGGACCAGTGACCTGGACCTGGTTAGATGAGATGCTGCATTTCATCTAACTACAGCTGGAAAAGGCTGCAGCATCGCTTTGACCCTAAGATAAGATAATGTGGATCTAAAAATTCCGTGAATAAATGAGTCAAATTTTATTAAGTTCTTTCTGAATATAGTATTCAAGTACATATCTTTAAGTACAACAAAACATAATGTTTTTTTTTTCTTCTTTTTTTTCTTTTTGGATCCCTTATTTTTCTTATTGGGAGTGACAGTTCAATTTAAAACTAGAAATGTAGATGGATGAAACATGTTGAAATGCTCTTCTTTTAAAGTTGTTGATATAAACACTGACACCACTGGCACAGAGTTCTTAAGATCAGTCATATGTAGATTCTGCTGTAATCTTGGATCTTCCAAACAAGCCTCATCAACAGCAAAAATAAACAAAAAAAATAATAATTTGTGTTGTTTAGATCACATGTCATTATTAATGATCATGATTCACTTAGAAGATTCAGCAGAGGAAAAAAAGAAATGTCTTAACAATCCCATGGGAAAAGCAGCCCATGGAACAAAGCAGCCTTCACATTCATGTCCATTTTTTTCAGTTTGCTTGTTGGTAATAGTTGCAAAGATTTACTATTAAACTGGCAAACAAGAACATAATTCCTAATGCCATTTATCTGAAGAAGTGGAGCTGGTTTGGACAAGAAATGCTCAACAGTAATTCAAAACTGTTTTTAATGGATCAATAAAATAATTTCACAAGAAGACCATTATTTTTTTTCCCTCTAAAACTAACATTTGGACACAGAAAAACATGAAGTTTGGAAAAGCCTTAATTTTTATATCATGGTATTTACAGAGAAGAAAATTAACGTCTGCTTCTACAGCCAGTAGATTATGACACTTTCCTGCACCCTACTTCAATTTCAAAAATACTTTATTGATCCCAAAGGGAAATTGCATGTTGCAACTCATTAATTCACAGTCTTCAAAGAGTTATTGTAGATAGTGATGGTTGTTGGCAGGAAAGATCTTCCGTAGAGATCTTTATAAAAGCGAATATGAAGAAATCTTTGACTGGAGACCTTTTCTTTTCCCAAGATTCCTGGAGAAGATGGTCAGGATTGTCCTGATTTTATGAAGAATCCTCCTTTGCAACATCGACTCCAGAGGTTCCAGAACAGAACCAGTCTTTTTCAGGTTGTTTAGTCTTTTTTAGTGCCTGGCTCTGACACTGCTGCCCCAACTATTGATGGCTGAAAAGATGTTTCTCTCACATCAGTCACAGAAGACTTATAGAAGATCTGCAAGATCTTGCAGCAAACCTGGAAGGACTTTAGATTCCTGAAAAAGTACAAATGAAATGTTTCAATGCATCAAGCTTAAGTTTTTGAATTGTTTTTGAAAATAATTCATATTTAGATTTTATTTTCTATTCAAATTGACACGTCAATTGCAGCACATTGTAGGTGGACCCTGTAACAACCTTTAACCTTTAACTAGTCACATTAAACTTAGGTGTAAAGACATATTTGGAAATTATGCTGTGCTACAATATCATCAGATGTTTGATTCAGATGGAAATTAACTCAGCTTTCAAAAACAAAGAGAATATGCCCTTATTTGATTATATTTTCACCATAGTGAACAGTCAGTCTCTCTTTTGCTTTGGATTTTCAACCACCAATGCAAACACATCTCTTGGAGGGAGTAAGGTTCTGGCTTTCCTCAGTGGACTAGCGCACACTCTTCTGTTAAAAAGACTGTTATGAAAGAGGGATAAGATCTAAGTCCAAAAGGACCTTTTTAATCAGATAGAGAAAGATTTATGAGTAGTTTAAAAGGCTGGAGCTTAGATTTCCCCTTTGGTTTTCTCTATGTTTATTTTATTTATTCTATCATTCATTTCGTTTTTCTGAGTTACAGTCTGAGCATAACCCTTGCTAAACAATTAACAGATGTGCCACGCTAACAGTCAAGTGAAAGCAAAGTGCAAGTGATGATAGTTACGTGCTAAAATACATACAAAAATCAAATAAAATGTTCTGGGATAAAATCCAAGCCAGGGCATTACTGCACAGAGTTCACATCTTCTTTCTCTTGCTTCCTTTCATAAATTAAAAACATCCATATTGTGCAAGTTACTCTACATTTAAGGTAGGAGTGTGTATGGGGGAATTATACTGTCAAAAGTCAAGAGCTTAGTTTTTTTAATTTCAAGGCAAGACTGTCAGTTTACTCTCAAAACTTTTAATACTTGAACTTACATGCTCAATTTGAAAGCAGGATTTATTCTTGTTGCACTAAAATCTTGTAAAGTTACGTCTGCTCTCTTTCAAATATTCTATGTTCTCCCTCAGATTTTTTCCTGCCTTGCAAACAATCTCTATTAACAGATGAAGTCTGCGCTCAAAAACCTCTCTGCTAACTTGCAAATTATTATTGTTCTCTGAGATTAAGGTGTATAGTCACCAAGCAATCAGGATTTCTCTTGGGTCTGCTTGTGTGACTACAATAGACAGCGGCATCTTCAGCATACTGATCTGAATCAGTAGTTGAGTCCATGTCACTCTACAAAAAGGATCGGCACTAACAAATCCCCAAGCAAGTCCAATTTTCACTGTTAGACACTTTATTTAATTCAACTATTTAATTTTGTTTTAGTTTATAAGTTTATTTGTTTTACACCATGATGCCCTTACATGAACATTGGAATATGTGAAGTAGATTGAATAGAAAACACTACTTTCAGTTTCTGAAAGTAGTTATATAAATACTATAAATTTTATATAAATAATTAAAAAAAATAGCATGATCACAGTCTGTTTTCAAATACATGTGTATTTTTTTATTTTTTTTTTTTATTTTAAACAAACTTTTTCATAAAATGTTTTCTTCTGGAGTGAGAAAATATTTGCTTTTTTCTGGTCTGATAGCATAGATTGAGTTTGAGTGAGCAATCACATTAATTTCTTATGGAGATGGTGCAACATTGCTGATAGGTTGCCTTTAGTTTTCTTTGTGCCCTGAACACATCCCAAATCACAGACAACTAGAGTGCCTGAGCCAAGTGATTTGGATGGGATGATAGATGGGATTATATAGCCATGTTAATTTTCTTCTACCCAAAGTTTTTTCAGCTCCACCCATCTCTTTCTCCTTTCTCTTTGGCATGTTAGCTAATTTAATCCCTTTATTTTCAAATTAGGAGTGGCTGCTCTTCTCCCCTTGATTTGCAAAATACCAGGTTGACGGTTATAAAAAGAAAATAAAAATAACAAAAATAAATTTATTCAATCCAAAGCTATGTGTTAACATTATCTTCCTTAGTGTTTACATTTGTTAACAACCTTACACCTTAAAGAGTGACGACAGCATAAAGCACAATCCACTTGCGATAACAATGCAAGTGATATGTTCCTACAAATAGCTCTTTGTTGTGATTTTGTCTTTCTGACAATATTAGAATTTCTGTCTCAGAATTCATATGCAGACATTGTTAGAGAGAACTACAAGACTGACGGTGAATAAAATTTAAATAAGGTCAGTGTCCTTCCCCTTGTTATTAGAGGAGAAGCTGCAGTCACACGGTGTATTTATGCCCGGCTAGAAACAGTAAATAGATTAGATCTGCCTGGCTCTTTTGTAGTACAAGGCAACACATAATTAATACAGTCCTGGATGCCAAAAACTACATAGAGTTTTTATTGTCGCTTGTGTGTGCACATACAGCAGCCCATCCAGCCAGATGTTGCACAGGGTGAGACATAAACTAAGAAAATAGTCATCCATTTCAACAATGTTTATTTTTGATTAATTTGATCCGTATACCACACAAATTAACAGCAATCTCTGCCTAATGTCACTTTATTGTAGGCGTTCTTTAGAGAAAACAGCCATGTTGTTAAAATTAATCTTTCTTGGATGCCACAATGGATCATTTGCCTCAATCTCATCCTATCCTGAGTGCCCCCATCTGTCACAGTGACCATCTGTATGCTATCTTCCTCTTCACACATAAACCTTCTCTGCGGACTCCCTGTTTTCATTGTCCATGTTCACCTTCACACATTGTAATTGTCCACTACATAGAAAATATTTAATACTTGATATGTCCAAACCATTTCAGTATTTTCTCTTTTTGGTCCTCCCAACTTTTTTGGTTTTCCACTGATTAAGTTAAATGCAATAATCTCGCTATTAACGGATTAAAAGTTGGACTCTTATGTAAAGTATTGCTTCAAATGAGTTTCTGTAACACAAGTGCATCTTTAAAAAATGAAGTCTAAATTACTCAAATAAATTAATCTTTTGAATTGATTTGTAATTTAGAACAAAAAGAGAGATAATAATCATACTTTTGATGATTATGGTTTACAATTATCCATCCACCCATTCATTCTTTGTATCTGCTTATCCTTGTAGGACCACAGTGTGGAGTACACCCTGGACAGATTGCCAAGCCAATGGTTTGCAAATAATACAACAAAGTATTTACCAGCTGTGGACTGCAGCCACCCCACGCAGATGTAACCAAAGGTATGGGCTGTAATGAGTTGTGTTTGTTGAAACAATTTGAAGTGTCTAACCTGGGGCAAAGAGGAAAAGACTTGGACTGTTATTCAACGATCCAAACTTCTATTTACAGTTTAAACTAATATTGTAGTTAATTTGGAAATCAATGTCGTCTGTGAGTTAGGTACCAATATTTTTAGCAAGTACAAAATCACCACAGCTGTCAAACAGAACATTTTAGAGCACTTGGTTCTATGCTGACAAAGTTATGTTGCTGATTTCACTTTCCAGCAGGATCTGGCTTCTGCCAACTCAGCAAAAAGTTCTTATATTTGCTTTCATAAAAGTGATGATACTCTGCTTGATTGGCCAACGACTGCTCAGACCTACACTTCACAGAGAATGTCATCACTGCATAATTATTGATGAAATAATGAATGCAAAATGAATTATTACATTATTGCAAGTGTTGAGTGCTTGCTCTTTTACACTCAGACATAATGTCAGTGTCATTATTACACTGACATTGTGACATATTTTATTTATTTTTTTGTCTGGTCTCATGACACTTAAAAAAAAAAAAAAACAATTGCCAGGATAAATGTCATTTAAAAAATTATTCAGTTTTCGATTTTTTGAATTTTTTTGTTTTTTATGTAATATTTTGAAAGTCTCTGTTCTATTTTAGGAGACACATCAATTTCTTTGCGAAACGCAGAGAGCAGAAAAACTGCAGCCGGATGTGTAATCTTTAGCATCAACAAAGCTCCGGTGATCTTTCATTGCTTTCATCTTGGCCTGGTTTTTAATGAAAGCCGGGTTTTTCAGAGTCTGTAAAAAACCAGGTGTAAACATAGAGGTACATTCCAGAAAGTGAAATACAAGCAAGATATAAAAAGAAAGAAAAGGGAAGAAAAGAAAAGGCCTCTGGGCAAATGTCTGTTTTACACAGGCTGAGCCTCTGGGTCGCTGCTGGCAAGATACTCGACAAATGACAGCACTTGGTTGGTTGTTTCGGGGCTTCCAGACCATTTGCCTTCATGTGACAGTGTGTGTATCTTTCTTGACACTCTTAGGAATAACCTTTTAAAATTAAGTTTGTTTGTTTTGATTTGCTATAATCAGTGGAGGATGAGTGGGAACGCTTCTATGCTCTTCTTCTCGAATTTCTGCTTCCTGACTGTTTTTGGGTACCAGCAATGCAACCATAAGGATAGTAATAATGGAGAGAAAAAAATATTTGCTCTAAAACAAGACATTTGTAATCTGCCAGATTATATGCTATGCCACAGATAATCAAATACATGTAGTATTTTACACTGTTATTTTAGGCAACACTGAAAAATCTACTTTAAATAGTTGTTCAAACTCAAATGGAAAAAAACAAACAAGAACTATTTATGTCTTTATTTTTGGCAATAACAATGCAAGTGATAGTCCTTTGTTGTATTTTTTTCTTCTGTCACTGGATTTGAGCCCTACTAAGCATATGAAGACATGCCTAGACATTTTTCACATCCACTGATGGTTAATGATGCAGAATAAGTCTACTTACTATGACATAATAGCATTTTAAATATGTCTACTATATAAATACTTGCTGATGACAGACAGTGTTTGCTGTATAATATGTAGAAAGCATTTGCAAAACTCAGATGGACACAAAGGCAGTGGACATATTTTAGTTGTTTAAGGCTGCAATTCAGCTTCCATATGGGTCTGAGCTGACGAAGGGTTCTAGATGCCAAAGATGAGAAAGCACATCAAAGCTTTTATCAGTGAAATATTCAAAAGGCAGCAACTATGGGGTGCATCAGTGCCCATGGCATGGTGTATTTGCAAGATACCTTTGATGCAGAGGAATTCTAGAGAACTATGCTGCCCATGGAGGTAACTTCTTTCCCCCTGGAGATTATTTCAGCAGGACAATCGTGCATGATTTACAAAATAATGTCAAAGTGCATTTTAGATGGCAGACCTAGACTAGTCTCCTTTTAAAATTAATGAGTCTTAATAAACAGGAAAAAATACTGCATCATTAGAAGATAAAGTCATGAACTCTGCAAGAATATAGATTGTCATTATAAAAAAGGCATGAACAGGTTTCCAATTTCCAGTTTAAAAATGTTGTGTAACACAATCTTTACTATTGTGTCAGTCAGTCTTTTGCTAGAATCAAAAACATGATTTTACTCTTTTTTTCTAAGGCATATTGAATTAAACAATGTCTTTGCATAAGTAAAGACATTATTAGCTTTATTTGTTGCTCTTCAGACTTTTGCACCAGTTTTCAAATGGAATATAAAGCACAGGAATTAAAAGGTAATGTCCACATAATGCAATGATTATGATATGGGAACAAGTAGATTACAAAACCAGAAGAATAGGTAGACGACTTGCCTCATATCAATACAGTGTGATGGCCTTTTCTTTTTTTGCTCTGAACAACTGTATCTTGTATGTACAGAAGAGATTCATATAGCTGTTGGACCCTCTCCTGATCTAACTCAACCTACAACTGTGGTGAGAACTCATCAGTCTAGTTGATGGTTGAAATTGAAGTCAGTCAAAATCTACTTATATAGCATATTTCATGTGCAAAGCAACACAATCTGCTTTCCACCGAAAGACAAAAACATCAATAAAAGTGCAAATGCAGAAACACATTTGCTTTTTCATAAAGCAAGGTAATTGTATATTCAACTGATTCAAAGAAGAAAAGGTGTCGAGTGGATTAGTCAGATGAACTTTAGTGAATTAAAGGATGAACAAATTGACAGGGTATAGGAACTCAGCTAACATAGCTTTTTCTGGGAAAAACCCTCCAAAATTTCTTATTTGTCTAGCTACAAGTTCTAGTAGTTCTAAAGCATCATGAGATATAGAATCCATTCTGTTAAAGTTCCACAAATGGTTCGTTTTAAAGCAGATACTATCTATCAAATGCTAACCAGATTTATGAAACAACTGAAGCTCAAATAATTACTTACTAAATTTTAATATCCAAAATAATAAGGCCTAGGAAAATCATGGTTAAGCCGTAATAAAATTTACAAATATGCATCTACACCTGCATGCACCCACACTCCTTCGCACATGTTCTTTATCAAAACAAGACTATAAATATTGTCTTTCAACAATTAGATCAGCATATTTTTAAAAATTAACCATAGGCTTTTGACGATATTTTATTACAGCTATTATATACTGAGAAGCAAGATTTGTATGCAAGAAATATGACTTTAAAAATCATTCTTGTTTCTTTAGGCAAGGCAACTTTATTCACTTAGCACCTTTCAGCCAAAGACAATTTAAAGTGCCTGTACAAGAGCGTTAAAAACAAGATACAACAAGAAGATAGTAATTAAAAATAATAATAAAATAATAATAATAATAATAATAGGTAATCTATGCAAAGTTTGGAGAGATGGAGTAATATGTTCATATATCTTAGTGACTGTGAGAATGCAGGAAACTGGATTTTGTTTTAACTGTATTGTATGTATTGTACATTTGGAGAAGCAAGAGAAAAGGCCGTTTGAGTTATACAGGACTCTTGTAACAAATGCATTCTTTAGTTTTTCTAAGAAAAAATGAAAAATAATTTATTGCGAGCCAGGCAAGCTCTTCGCTGTTCAATTTGTTTGTAGGTCCTGAGGTGAGGAGGAGACTCTAAATGTAGATGTCACCACTACCAGTCTCTTGAAGAGGAAACAATCCCCTGATAAATGTAAATCTCTGTGGAACTTTCTTTAATTTTGTGTTATAGGACTTAAATCGACCAAACCACATTCAGAGCTAACAAGCAGTTAGCAGTTTCCAACAAGAGCTGAGCCAGCTGAATGCAGAAGTTCATCTCGCCCATCAAAGATCTATTCACAGTAGTTTTTCCCTGCCCAGAAAGAATAGATTAGAATGATGAATTAAGTGTTTTTGTGTATTTTTAATGGTGTTTCCAGTGGCCTAAGTGGGTGCTTGCTCTTCTTGTGGGTCAGGTGAGATGTGTTACGGCGTGTCAGCCACTCCATAAAGAGCTTCATCTCAGAGGTGTCAAGTCCCTTTTACTACAGGCCTTAATTTGCAGTGATCTTGTTTGTGTTGTGCACATTTTAGCAGCTTATTGTGAATAGCACTGTGCGAGCAATTGTTAGTGAATGGTTAAAAAGAAGTTGTTTTGTGTGTCCACAGTGGAAGCTGGTAGGGGTTCTCTGCCATTTTTATTCCAGACCATTTTCTCCTTTTTTTAGGATAGCCAAGGTGCTCAGCTTCCAAAGCCTTATCGAGCTGATATTTATGAACAATAATTAACACTGAATTATGTAGATATTGTCTGAACTTAGTAATTTTAATGTAAATAACTAGTTTTATAAATATTTACCCTGTGCAACTATTTATAGTTGTTCATAGCCCAAACTATGCAGCCTATTGTTGCGCAACATTGTGAAGTTAGAAAGGGAATAGTTTTCGCTATGCTTCCATGTTGCATACCAGTTAGAAAAAGGGAAACTGTGATGATGAGACAAAAAAATCAAAGCACTTCTAGAATATCGCAATTAGCCAACCATTATGCATGCTGTTGGTGCACATTAAAGCAATATTTTTATAGCATCTCAAATTCCTTAAAAGACAGTTATGTGAAATTACAGCTTTATTTTCAGTTTTCTAAGGTTTTGTGACACTGGTGACCTTCATTCATTAGTAGCTGGTCAGAAAAATGTAGAGTACTATGGTTGGAAATTATACCATTGCACTTGTGCAAATCATACCATTGTCATACCCATTACTGGTATGCATGTATACCAAATCACATTCAGATAAGACCATTTCAGTTTTTACTTTTTTTAGCTATGAGTACACTTAACAAAAAGAGAAACACTCTGTTCTTTTATGAAAGTCAAAAAATTATTGTGCCTTCCCATGAATTTCTTGAAGTCAGGTCAATTCTTGTGTGTGTCATACAAACCAACTCCCTGCCATCCACACACACAAGGTTTTGAAGGCAGTCAGTCACGCACAAGATTTTA